AAAGTATTAATGATGAAAGTACTGTCATTGGAAAGCATTTTACTCAAGCTTATTAGTTTTTCAAGAACTGGAAAAGATTAGAAGTGAAGTTTAATTTGATATTATGTTGTATGACTATATGAAAACTACATTGTTCAAGAACTTAAATTTTAAATTTATTATGAGTAGTAAATATCGTGACAGGTACGTAATAAAATAAAATCGTATACGTCAGTAATGACGCGAAAAGAAAAGATAATTGAGCGTGAAACACTGACCACGATTTGAGGATCACTCGGTCGCACACGCCGCAATTACTGATCAATTTCTTTTTGGAAGCCTCATTTTAAGTTGATTCGCAATATCACATTAGGCCAATCAGAATATTAAGTGACACCTTTAAAAATGTGTTGATATGACATCCTACTTTAATATGATAAATAACACATAAATTTTCATTATTTCCAGCCAATTAATATCCCCATTTATGCAAGTAACTTTTAAAATACTAAGTATATTATTATATTATATTAAAACCGCTGCATGAATGCACGAGAAAAGCGAGAGTTCGGGAGGAGTGGCGTCGCATTGTGAAGCAGGCCACTAATGTCGACTTGACGACATCGACCACTCTGTCAAGAGTGTAGCGCCTAAGAAGAAGAATATTATTATAACAAAATAGTTTGCTGTTATTATTTATTTTTGATTTGTATTTTAGAATACTTTAATATAGTATTAATGAAAAGTAGACAACAAAATATTAATTGGCATAATCAAAAGTTTACGGTTACTAAACCTACAGTGGGTAAAGAGGCAAAGGCTCTTAACGACGTCTTGTAAACAATCCTTAAGAAATAATAATAATAGAAACAAATACGTTTTTTACGATTGTGACTTGTGACAGTTATCAAAATTACTTTAAGAAAGCATTTGCATGTAAAGTTGTATCGAATAATGAATGAATAAATAAAATTGTATGGGAAAATTCGTTATGGTTTGATCCCATGAGCAAGGTCATCCATTTAACAAGTGAAAACTTAAACACAACAATGAACTGACTTCTCATGAGAGTAACAAAAACACAAAATAGCTCTCGTTGATAATTAATGTAAGCCTTTATAGCTGAAACGCACACGTTAGATCATATCTAATGTTCTTCGAAACACTTCAATAGAGATAAACTATTTTCTGTTTTTACATTCAAGAGAAATCTTTGTACATTCACCGCTTAATTTTAACCACAATTGCTTTTAGATTTTAACGTAATTATAGCACAAGGGCGTAATAAAAATGTCTTTTACAAACTTAGAGTACGTTACGCATCACGCTCGCTTTCTAATGTTAATCTGAAGAATAATTGTTAAGAGTCGATCTTCTTGGGCTTTCCCGGCCATTAATTAAGCACTTTCAGCTCGTTACTAGCCAATTAGAAGTCGAAGCAGTTGCGCTTACGTCGTTGATAATCAGAGCCGAAAGTGACTTCACTAAATATCAGGCCGCTCGATCCACCCGCCCACACGTCAGTCAAGTCATTGATTGTCTTCGGTATTCGTTTGTATAATTTTCTAATCCTAAATATCATTTATGTAATATTTTATAACATTTTTATCGAATGTAATTATATAGAATATGGATTATAGTCACACTAATTCAGTATTTTTACAGAATGTTTTATCTGTTTATACCAACTGTTCCCCCTACATGCCTCTTCCGCTGTTCGACGTTCATTGTCTTTTTATATATCCCTGATTTTAGTTTTTAAGGCTTCTGAAATCATCTTCCATGATTTGATTATAAATATTGTTTCTTCTCCTCAATACCTATTCCATATAGATATAGAGTCCATGATAAATATTTTCTGATTTGATTCATGAAATGACGAAATCTTACAAATGTTTAAGCCTGAGCAAAAAAGTTTATCTTACAATTTACAATCAACTCCTGTAATTGTCTTTATCTCGTTCATTTACACTATTTAATTTAAATTCGTAATAATCAAACACTTAACACATAAAAACAGAAATGAAATTACCAACTTGCTTAGCTCATATTTTGCATTTATGATTGCAAAATTTTAGCTGATTATATGTTGGCAATTCCTTCGCAATTACTGGCAATCAAGATCCGTGTCAATAATAACTATCTTATAATGTGTCATTATGTGTTTGATCTGGTTTCCACTCTCATCACAGTATATTCAAAGCGAAAACATTCCCAACACTGCAGAAAAAATTAGTCCGACTTCTTCGAATACTGATCGCGTTGACTTGCAAATTGCAGTTTTGCGATAGACAGAAAACGAAAGTTATGAATAAACTTACGATTCACGTTTATTTTTTGTTGATCATCTCTTGCGAAATTGGAGAGCGACTTTTTTTTGTTAATTTTATAATTAATACGACTATCCCACGATAGTGTTCATGGTCGATCACATAACTTAATGAAATGTGTAGTGTAGTTAGTTAAAATTCATAAATTCTAATGTTCTACAGTGCTCTTGTTAGATAAAAAACTTTAATAAAAAAAAACAAATAGATTTTTTAAATCTTATAATATCTATTAAAGAGATTTTTAGCGTCGTTATTCATATCATACCTGAAACGTTAATTTTGGAGAAAAAAATAATTGAAAAAGCAAGTCTATATATAGCTGACCGTTACCTTGATATTATTTAGACTTTGATATTATATTTTTCGAGATTTATATGTGTACATTAGCAGCTACATACAACAGTTACATATTTAATGGGCATTACTGTAACAAGGTTTTATATAAATTATATATTCGTATTCGTCACTCATTCTATAATTACTTTAGTCGAATTTTTTACGCAGTTATATTTATAAAACAAAATTTCCCACGGAAAACCCTGTTTCAATTATTATTACATAAATTAAATTATAATCTATAGTGAAAAATCTGATAAACTTTATCATAATTAAATCAAAGTTAAACTATTTATACAAGATCTTAGAACTATTATAATAAGAAATAAACAATATACCGATATCCAAAGCGAATCACTGATTCTTTATTTATGATAGAATGAACGAATTAACAAAAAAAAATCTATTGATATACATTTAATATCTTTCATTTTTCAATTGAATTGACGAATCAACTATGAACAGGTAGAATAATATACAGATTGTAAAGATAAACGATCAAATCATAATATTGTCAAAACTGGAACACCTTTCTCTGATGTGGATGTTGATCAATGAGTTCTAAATTGGATAATATCGTCTATTCTTTGGTTGACTAGACTATGACGTGTTTTTGACAGAGTAATTAAAGAGTTCAAAGAAATACGCACACAACTATCAAACCTTATTCGACAGTAAAACTTAATTTATAGGATGTAAAAATAAGGACGAGGTATTTATTATTACTTTTTGTGAAATTATCAATTACTAATACTATAGAATATGAATATGTTCTCATTAAGATTTCGAAAAAGCCTCCAAGAATTATAGATACAGTATAACATCCCATTTAAATCTTATGAAGACTAATGGATAAGTTTTATGAGTAATTTTATGTATGTCTATTTGAGGTATAATAAGTTACATTTTATGCATATTTAACGCGATGTCGTACATAGTTTTCTCAAAAAATAACTGTTAATAAATATTTCCTGTTATCTTGTACATTCACTCGGAGATAATGAAACGGAACAGTTTCAACCTATTAATTAAACGTATCCACATTATCATTACAGTTTATTGTTTCATATTGAGGTTGCCATGTTGAGAAGAAAGTGATTTTTTATGATTTCTGCGGTGAGAAACCGCAAAAGGGCTGATATTAATAAAAGCAATGAGGCTTGCATTGTTTACGGCCGCAATGGTGGAATGCTCTACATCCGTCTCACTTCTTCTTCAGCGCTTAATTGAACGCGGCTGCCACCTACTGCAGACTATTATTATAATATTGCCGCTAGTTATAGAAAATGGAAAATGCCCGAGGGCCCGCTTTCTTGTAACTAGCGCTTGTCTAGCCTAGTTCCGAACAGATAGGTGCAGTCATTCAAAAAATATCGTCGTGTATCACGAAGGTATCGACTGAGTCGATTACATATTATATGTATACCCTAAATTAACCGCGATAATGTTTTCGATTTTATTTCCGAGTATCAGTCGAACTAGAATATAAATGTTAATTGTCTATAAATCAAAGCATTCAATTTTATGTGATCAGTCATGGCGAAAGTCATTATTTTAGTTACGGAACAACTTTACAGAATCGTGTGGTATCGTAGCTAACGGTGATTACACTGTTAAGCACATCTTCCATCGGCAGCAGAGAGTTGTGCTTTCTAACTAGCGATCGAACGTCTGGAGAGAAATCAACAGAATGTTCGATCAGCGGCATGTGCGTCGCTGCGTGCCACGCCATTTATATATAAAGCATAATGCGAATCTAATCCCTTATTCAAAAATGAAAGTATACATGAAAGTGCAGATTTTATAATTTAATGTATATTTTATTTAATGAGCGCAAAATACTTGATGTGAAAATAATTTATAATGAATAAAAAAGTTACGAATGCAGTTCAGACATTAAATTACATAAGCTGACGATAGTTATTTTAGATTTTATCAAAGAGAAAATAACCAAAAATACTTATCACTTTTGAATCAAACGAAAACATTCTGCTTTACGTTCTGTATTCATAACGGTATCACTTATGTATTTAAAAAGTAAGTGGACATTAGAACTGGACTGAATTGCGACCTTGCAGTTAATAAGGTGAAGGCCGCGCGCGGTTTCCTCCTCTACACACGGGAGCGGTGCGCTGCAGTGAAAGATGCGGCCGGTGCAGTTCCGGCGCTGGACGGTCAGTGGGTCAGCCCCACTCGGCTAGCTAGGGGGTGGGGCTAGGCAGCGCGCGCGCAGTATCGCGAGTACCGCCGTCACGTTGAGGAGATGGCCGCGTTTGCGCTGGCGCCGTATTAGCGCCCATGCGAGCCCACGGGCCCTTACTAGTGCGATCTTGAACTGTGTCTCGTTGGTTGCAGGCCGCTGGACTACTGGACTGTGAATATGAAGAGGCTCAGGCTATTGCTGGCGATCGCGACGCTCCTTATAAAGGTTAGTTGTTTTATATAATTTGGACTATTTTTAAATATCAATAAAAAGCTTTCAGTAACGAAAATATTGAAGGAAATCTTGAATGATAAATATGGTTAGTTAGTTTAATATTTTTTTTAATATAATAATATCCATTCACTCATAAAACGTGTTGAAACAATATATCCACGCATTTTTATGATGGTGACAATTACTTTAATGCATGTACAATACCATCTTACCGCATCTTATCAAATCGTATTATCGGTTCCGCAACTCATTTAATCATAATAATGATTCATAATGAGACATAACGCGGTCTGCTCTCCTGCATTTGGGATACCGTTTGGCGCAGTAGACCGCTGCATATAACAGACTGCAAAGCGGCTTTTACACTAGATTGCACCGCTCACTTACCAATAGATCCCATCTAACGTACTGCTCTTGCTTAACCGCTAAGGAAAAATAAGTAAACTATCCAATCGAAGAATACTGACAATATTCATATTTTATCATTAACTAATATAGTTGACATCCTTATAGTATTTAGATTTAATTCTTAACCAAGTTATTAATATTTTTAATATATAAATGTAGACTCTGTAGTGTAGACTCTTCATTATTATTTCGAGGTTAAAATTTTAAGAATTTCGTATCTGTTTATATATAAATATAAAAAAAGATGTTATTTTATCATAGTTATCGTTCATTAATTAAAAGAGTAATCAGTAAAATTTTACATAGAATATATTAATTTAACTAACTTTAGTGAGTATTCAATTGTACGTAAGGCGGACTTAATGCTAATAGCATTCTATAACAGTTAACGGGAAACAGAACAATATGATGGCTACATAAAGACAATTTACAAATATACAAATTACATATCATTCATACATATAAACAAAAATAAATATTATACCTATGTATATTCATAAATACATAAAAAACAATACATATATGATGATGATTTTCAAAAACGTTCCAAGAAAAAAGTATGAGCTGAAATCATAAATGTTGGAATATAGATTCGACGCTTTATTTGTTCAGGTTTTTATTATACAGAAGAATGATATACAGAAGAGAAATATACAGATTTATTTATTCTTCGTCTTTAAATTCCTAATTTCATAAATTCAATAATACATTTTATAAGTTACTACATGTTCTTGCGACTTCACCCGCGTAAACAATAGCCTATAGCATCCGCATATGATAAATCTTCCCGTAGATGAAAGGATTTTTATGATCGGATCAACATTTCCAAAGAACACACTCTACAATCAAACAAACAATATTAGAAACTTTACCTCCTTATAATATTATAGTTTTTCTTTCCAATTGCACTGTTTTTTCTACAATTGTTATTCATAAACATAATAGCGGAGACTCAGCGGAAAAGCGAGATTTAGTTTTTATATAATTTTTCTCAAAAATGTTTGAATTATATTTTGTCCGTAGACAATAATTTATTTTTTCGGTACGTTGGCATCTATAGATGTGCGTGCGTTTCTATACGGCTCGTGCCCGCTCTTACATTATTCAGCTTTTTCCGGCCGTGTTGTTGCATCTAGGCTAATGATTCCGTTAGCACATCCACAAAACATACGAGATAGGAGGCTAACTGCGTATACTCATCCTCCGTCCAATTTCTAAATCAATTCTTGATTCATATAGGTACTAAAGTTTAGAAGACTAGCTTGGAGCGACAAACAAAGTATCGAAACCAACAAAGTATTCGTTATATGTTTTGGATTGGTTTCGCTTCGTAACAATACTAAAACCTTAGGCCATAGTATTTCTAGAAAGAGACTTGTAATCTTTGCCGGTAACTATGATTAAATTTCTAGGTATCTAATAAATTATTACAAACACTAAAAAAAAGGGAAAGAAAACTCGTTTCTCTAGCTTTCGAGTAGGTAATTGTTATAGGTTGCCATAGTTCGAAAAAAAATCTGAAAAGAAAGTAATATATATCTATAAATTGACATGGAAAGAAAACTTTTTAAGAAATTCAATGGTTACATCTTCACAGAAAAAAAAGAGAAATAATTCAAAACAAATACTAAAAGTTCCTGTTCAAAATCACTGTATTGATACATATGAATGTTCAACTTTATATTCCACAGTTAGACGTTACCTACTTCCTTAAAAACACTGATTGTAGGGCACACTTCACTTGCAAATTTCTCAGTTCGATTTCGAATGTACAGTGTCTAAATCGGCTCCATTAACGATTCTAAACTGCAACTTTGTGGTGACGGTCACTGTGCCGTTGCTCTCAACGACGAAGCGTTTGAAGTGACATATAACTTTTATTTATTTTTTTAATATTTTGTTTTTTATATTACATTACAGTTACTTACATTTTAACGTCTAGCTTTATTCAGGTAGAGTTTAACTCGTACGAATGCACATGACAGACCCGTTTAATTTGTTTTCGGAAGAAAATTCGTAAAATTTCAATTCGTTATTATAATTTTCTTTAAATCATATCTTTGAAAATTATCTATGTATAAGAGTTAGTGAGATCTTACCTCCGTTAGAGATTTTTATTAATTATAAAACATCAAAGTTTGCGTCTCTTTGGAGTCGTATTAACATTTCTAGAATATACTAAATTTCAATTTCGGAGAAATAGAATGAGCCTGTCATGTTAATTCTTACGAGTAGTACTCACTCTGTACCTATCTCTCTTTGAGCAAAACTCTATGTCTAGGTTTATAATAATTATATCTTTCAGTACCATGCCCACTATTTATTTGATAAAGTTTCTAGATTTCCCAGTTTATTGACCACGAAAACTTCGAATAAACTGAAACATTTAGAATATAATAGAATCTTTATAATCTGTGGTTCTTTCTAAAATGCTTATTGACAATAAAATTTAAGTATAAGTTTTTATGAAAGCCAAAAAGGAAAATGGAGGATATAATATAAGGATTTTAGATGAAATATAGAAAAAAGAAATTAAAAATTCGTACGTTTTCACTTTACACTATTAACGTAACTTTCCTCTTTTATCTGCTCTCAAAGAAACTGTATAAACGAGGCGTAATTTGCATAACTCGAGAGATGCGTCCGCGCCACGGAAGCCCCCAATACCCTTCAAAAGAATCACTTTCACTGTAAATAATTCGCCTTTTTCGAGCGGACTGACGTAATGTCGTCATGCGGCTGTTACTCCAAAAGTATGCTATCATAATATAATCACGTTTAAATTTTTATTCAATATTACGCTTTATAACAGGCAGTTTATTATAAATAGACTTCAGATTATTGTTACTTAAACTTTCATAAAATACATTTGAATAGACTTACTGAATGAACATAATTGACTGAAATAAATGACATTTTAGCGATAAAATCATCCTTATTCTGTTGGGTAGAATGAATACATTTCGTTTAATATTTTTCTTCTTATCGCTAAATTTATTTTAAACGCAGGTTTTCTTTATATTTTTGCGGCGAAAACTTTGAGCTGTAAAAAGATATGATAGAGACATTGACAACTTGTAGCCCGACGAAATCTATGCGTTCGACGCGAACGAAGTCATGGGCAAAAGTTTGTTTACAAAAAAGGCATCTTTATCGATTCATTCATTTCAGTCAGCCTTTATTTGGCGGCGGTAGCGATTACAGCAGTTACATTATAAATCGTGCCGATACTTATCACAGTTAGATCATAATATTGATGGATTAATGCCGGAGAATGAACTGGTTATTGATTATTGTTCACTAGGCTTTGAATGCTGCAGCCGCTTATTATTGTGTAATCTGAACACGATGGGTAATCTTATTATATTATTATACAGTTTTTTCTTTGCCTGTAATATAGCTAATATTTTAAATACTGTAATTACGATTGTTCATTATCTATATATAGTATAAAACGATGTAGTTTATGTGTATACTAAAGGACCACGACGGCGAAGCCGTTGGAAAGCTAGCATTGGATAAAACGCAAGCCGTAAAGTCACATGATATAAAACTACGCTTTTTAAAAAGTTTATACCTGATGACAACTGAGAAAAAAAAAGGAATTTTATTTAGCCAGTTAGTCGGATAATTGTAAATATTAGATACTTATATATGTTTGCTTCAATTTAAACAAGAAATGGCTTAGATAATAGGCATTAAAGTTGAGTAGGGGCTCGCGTGACGTCATGCGATATTTCTTTCTTTTTTTAATAATCTACCTGAATAAACAGACAAACAAACAAAAAATAGTCGTCACCCCTATTCGCAAGTTAAACGTTCGTGAATTACAAATTGTACACTTACAAGCAAAAACAATTAAATTTTATTATTCTGGCGATATGATTCGTAATTGTGATTTACTTCAATTAGTAACATAAAGCGGTGTTATTTATAAACAAGGTTTAACTTTGGAGTAAATTTGTTTTTATTTATATATTTGGCTGCACTAAGTATTAGCCAAATACATATTATTAAACATACACTTAGCAAAGGTGAATCTAGTACGAGGTTCTAAGGGAGTAATATTTACTCCTAGAATATAGTAATTGACTTATTCTCTGTACAAAATGAATTAGGACTAATACTAAAATTGCAATTTTAGCGTAAGTTTAGTCTAACGCTAAACCTTGTTTATTAATAGCACTGAAGTTGTTTAATTAGGCATATAAACATAAATATTTGTATCGGTATTTGACAAAAATAAGCTGTTGAGTTGTTGACAATTTCGCAAACTCATTTTTCATTTGAAGGATTAAAACAATAGGGTTTTGCGGAATTCATAGTAGTATGAAGTTAAACATTATTATTTTATGCTTTAAGAAAGCGTTTTTAAAGATATGACGAGGTCTTTTGATCTTTGGAATAGAATAATAGCGACGATGATACTTTTGTTTGTATTGAATTTTAAACGCCCATTTTTTCATTCTTTGCGTAATCACTAAAAGCTTTACATTGAGTTGAAATATCTCATGAAGTCACGCCTTTGTACATTTTCTACATAGTTGTGACGCAGCGAGCCCCAACTCTTGAACTTTAATGTC